TGGCAAGGGTTGCCCAGGGCAGTGGTGGAGTTGGAGGGATTTAAAATAAGTGTAGATGTGGCACTTAGGGACACAGTTTAGTGGCCATGATGGTGTTGGGTTGATGGTTGGACTGGATGATCTTAGAGGTCTTTTCCAACCTTAATGATTCTGTGATAAATTCATTCAAACAAAAAAACCCAAGTGCCTGCATCCCGTCCCAAGTTACACTACATATGGTCTCTTAACCCTTTGCTTTTCAGCCATTTTATCCAGTATTTGAACAGAGATTGAGATTTTTAGAATGCACGTAGCAAACTTCAGAAGATGCACAAAAGCCTTAGGCACGAGTGGGAATTGCAGTATGTCCCTTCAGTTTGGGTTGTCACTGACAGGTAGAGCACTGTGGGCATCTATCACCTTCTGAAGGAAGCTGTAGATGAAAGAAATGTCATGAAAATATATTTGAAAGAAAATAGCTTTAAAGAGTTTTCTGAGATTATTAATAAAGGTTATTTTGAAGTGAAAATGTCATCCCTCTCAAAATTTGAAAGTACTTCCTCTTTTTCTTCTTTTCAGTTTATATTTAATACATTGTTGATCTATGATGGACAGTCTGGTTTCTGTGAACAGATGCATTCTTTTCCATCTCTATCTTGTCTTGACTACTAATTATTGTTCTTCTTTTCAGAATTCATATTCTGCATTTATTCAGTTGATGCCAGTTTTCATAATAATAATAGTGTCAGTTATAACTCAACTGATGGCCACAAACCCACCCTACAGTCTCTTCTACAAATCGTAAGTCATTTAAAAGCATGGTTTTTGGGTCTTTGGTGTTTGTGATAAGGAGGTAGATGGAAGCTGGACTTGATAGCAGAATGCTTGTTAGTGTTCTGTTCTGCTCTTTCTAGAAAGTGTTATCAATTTGTAAGTAAGGAAATTCCAACAGTCTCTGTTGACGAGTTCTCCAAAGCGTTATCGCTGTGGAGTTAACTATGGTGTGCTTTGTTGTACTCTGTGCTGAACAGAGACACTGAGACAGAAAGTTTTATCTACTGGTGTGAAG